GCCTGCTTCCTAGGGCTGAGGGAGAGTGACTGGCCCAAGGTCACCCAGCTGGCTTTGTGCCCAAGGCAGGACTGGAACTCACAGTCTCCCAGTTTCTAGCCTGGTGCCTTAACCACTACACCAAACTGGCTCTCATTCCCTGGAACTAGGCTGCCTATATTCAGAGACTACAGTCTAAATTACTTAATACGCAGCCAGAAGATAAAGTTATTCGGTTGTTTTCCATTTCTTAAGTGGCCTTTGCCTATGTAGGAGCTATGGGTAAAACATATTGTGCAAATTTCCAGAGTTAACTGAGTTTGATTTGTATGTTGCAGAAGTGCACCACCTGAAGTTTCAGGGTCACAGGCAACTCCTTAGAACATTGGATGTGGCTCCCAAGAGCCCTTCAGAAATTATTACTAAATTATAAATTTTAATGTAACGGGGAACATTATTAAACAAATGACTAAAGCATAATTGTATAAACTCTATTTTCTGTTTTTGTCCTGGTCTCACCCACTACTTGTCAATTTTTTTGGCAACTGCCTGAATGGAAACAGATACTCAGCACGATTCCCAGAATTCTCTTTAGCAAGACATTTATTGAGATGAAACGGATAGGGGGACAAGATTTCACCAAGTTTAGAACCAATATTACCATGTACTGTAAATTAAGACAGAAACATTCTGGTTCTCTTTTTCAAGCCTTGCTATGAACTGGTTAAAAGACGAATCTCTTCCCAATAATAGGAATTTGGAGATAAATGTTCACATAAGGGTCTCTTGAATCTTTATCAGTTTGGAACCAATTCTTACACTACTTTTGGAAGCACAGGTGTCAGGTTGCACTTAAGGCAAGTGCTTCCCTTTGCATGGATACAATTATGCAGCCTGATATGCTGCTTTGAAAATTATAGATGATAGAAGTTCATAGTCCAATAGGGACAAACAAAAAAACCCTCAATGTATAGTGCTTAAATGCATTGTACTATTACAGATTACGTAGTCCTGCTGTTGCTTAGAAACCCCCTGGAAATCTCTCTCTCTCACTGGGCCCTCCTTCTGTTGCAGGAAGAAGTGCCAGATGTTCACCAACCTCATCATGCTGACTGCTGCCCTGCTCATGGCTTTCAGCAAGATGGCCAAATCTTTTGAGATGATCCTCCTTGGGCGCCTCCTGTATGGGATTGGCATTGGTATGCTGGATGTGTTGTGGCTCTGGGCAAGTTCATCAAACCCAGAATGGGCAAAGATCAAACATTCTAGAGAAGGCTGATTCAGGAGGCGGTTAACCCAAAGCCCTTATTGGCACAGGCTTCTCCCTCTTTCTCCCCTTCTGAAATCACTTGGCATAATTGTAACTCTTCTCACACAACTACACACGATGGAGTCCAGCTTGGGCACACAAAGACCCAAACTCAGTACTCAAGGATGGCATTTTTATGTCAGCAAAGAGATGATCTGACTCGTTATGTTCAACCAAATAATTCAGTAATGCCTCTCTGCAGTGTAAGATGATTTTAATGAAATTACAACTTAGATTAATTGCAGGCCAGCTGGTTCCATGCTCTTCTTCACAACCTTTTTCCTTTCTTAAGGGTTTTCTTTCAATATACATCCTCAATATGTGGGAGAGATTTCACCTAAGAAGTTGCGTGGATTTACAAATGCCACTGTTGCTGTTTTTCTGACGCTTGGCAAAGTTGCAGGACAAGTTATTGGTCTTGGGTGAGTGCCGTTCCAAAACGCCTTAAATGAAAGTCACCAAGGGTGTTAAGTAAACATTAAATTTAAGCCTCATTTTTAGTTTTTCATTTCAGTTGAAACTGGAGTATTTGGCTTTGATCCTGATGATATGAAACCTTGATTTCAGAATACAGAACTGAGATCTGAGTTATTTACTTGTTTTATATGGCCACCCACTCACCAAGTGATTCTGGGCTGTTAACAGGGATTTAAAACATCACAATATGAAAAGACCATAAAATAATAAAGGGCCTTCTTAAAGGCCAGCAGGATTGGCACCATCTGAATCTCAGGGCAGGGGGGAGCACTGCTTCCAGGGCAGGTGCTGTTACATGAGTCTGCCCAGATATGAAGACTTTAGCATGGCTGCCCCACCAACCAAAACCAGGGATTCAGTAGCAACGTGCCTTTTTTAGCTGTAGCCCATTTATGGTATTTCCTTCCCAAAGAGGAAGTTCTGTATTTCCTTTACACTACCCAGTAAAACTTATTTGTCTGAGCCAATTGATACTTAGATATTATGCTAGATTTTTTTTAAAAAGTTTACTTCCCGACTATACTGTAATTCTTGGTTGTGGTAAGTGCTGCTTCATTTCACTGTTATTGGTTATATCCATTGTTTTATGTAAGCTGGGAATTTACAGAATAAAAATCTTAAAATAATATATGAACTGGATTATTCATTATCTTGATATTTGCTGTGCAACAGAAATCTGATCAGCCATCTCTTTTTTCTTCTAAAAAATAAATAGTCTAGATACAGAAGAAACTGTTGAACAAAAAATACTTTGAATTTTTTATGGTAAACCCAGGGACATACATTGTAGAATCTCAAGTTTCCCACCTCCCTGGATTCAATTTCATATAGAATTTCAAATAAGACAGTTGCAAACAGTGGTCTTGCATTGCTTACAATATGAGTGACTTTCCAGGGGAAAAGGAAAACCTCATTTATATTCCTGGCTCTTAAAATAGCATAATAAAAATATCCCCTTCATGCTGGCTGATACCTAGACAGATATATATCTAAACAAATCTGGAGTATCTATTTCAGTTTTCTATGGAAAACTGGAGAGTGGGCAGAAATCTAATATTTAAATTTTAATGCTGTTCAGTCCCAAGGGCCTTGGAGGAGGGAATTTGTCCCATCTTTGCTTGGTGACAGTGGGAAGAACAATTTCACAATTTCCACCCATTTTACCCACACCGAGTGTCCTTGACTCTGCCAAGGCTCACAGAGCATGGGGAATATTGTGGTGAGCAAATTAGGACTGGCGGACAATAGCCAAAGCTTTCACTCTACTGGCCTAATAAAAATTATGCTCTTCCTTTCTCTGCAGGGAAATTTTGGGCTCAGAGTCCTTGTGGCCCCTGCTGTTGGCTTTCAGTGGACTCACAGCCACAATCCAGCTGGTGACACTCCCATGCTTCCCTGACTCCCCACCCTACCTTCTGATACAGAAAGGCAACGAAGATGCCTTCCTGAAAGGTAGGATCCTTCTTCTCCAGCTGAAAGGGGAACAGGGCTGGAACGTGCTTCTAAACTCAGTGGCAAGCTTCTTGCCAGGTCCAGTAGCCCTCTGCCTTGGAGGCAAGCAGGATCACCAACAGACAACTGGGGAGAGGAGAGGATGGGGAGCTGCTGTTACAAAGGAGGAAAGATAGTAAGTGGGAAGGCAACATCAAGCCTGTCCTGCCTAAGATTTGGGGGAACTGCCACCAAAGAAACCTGAGAGACTTATGTTTTTCCATCACCATGCCTATGCTCTTGAACTGAAAAATTGGTTAAAAAATGATGGAATTAAAGAAGCCTTGCAGCAGAGGATAGTTATAAACATTTAGGCATCCAACAAGCAAATAACATTAGATGCTTGGAAGTCAATGCAGTGTAATCAAGGAATATAAAGGAAGGATAAGGAAAGTGCTGAAATCCAAGCTTAATGGTAGAAATACTATTAAAGCCACCAACCCTTGGGTTAGCCTACTTCTTCGATCCTCTGCAGGAATTACAAGCTGGACGCAAGCTGAACTAGAAGCACCAGACTGAAAAACCTGGCAAACTGTGACCATGAACCATGCACTAGATCTACGTAGTGACCCTGATAGATCATATGTGCCTCCATCGTATGTGAAGGTTGAAGTGGAATGCTACCACAAACAGTTGAAGAAGGAAAAAAGGCTCTGGCTGAATACACAGGGTAGCCAAAAAACATACAAAATGACCTAATAAAGGAAGAGGTACTGAAAAGCAGTGCAACCAAGGATGTATGTAAGAACAAGCACTGATGATGCGAAGGCAAACTGACCAAAGAAGCCAATACATACCCAGCACTTAATAATGTCCAAGGAATAGTTAATAATGAAAAAACATGGCAATGGTTAAAAAAGACATATTAAAAAAACAGAAGGACTTATTTTAGTGGGTCAAGAACAGTCATTATACCCAAATGTAATGAAAGCTAAAATTGGGAAAACTCAACATGACAGTAAATGCTGGCCATGCAAAGAACAGGAGGGGAATGTTGAACACGTGGTACTTGGATGACCAGATGGAATATTTAGAAAAACACAATAAAATGGCCATCTTAATTCATTGGAATCTTACGAAGAATTATAACTTGCCAGCAACAAAAAAATGGTGGGATCAAAATATTGAAAAAATGGCTGCAAATTGTTCCAAATACAAAATGATAAACATTAACCAGACATGACTGTAGTTACAAAAAAACAAGTATGGATAATTAGCATTCAATAACTGGAGACAGAAGGGCAATGAGAAAGAAGCAGAAACTCAGAAAAATATAAAGGCCCTCAAAGGTCAAGCAAATGTGGAAAAAGAAAATATAGTGGTACCAATAGTGGTTGGTGTGCTTGGTGTCATATCAAAAGATGTGAAAGAGCACTTGGATACAAGAGGGATGGATAGAATTTCAATACATTAATTACAAAAAGCTGCATTACTTGGAACAGCACATACTTTACAGCAATATCTGCAACTATCCTAGATCCATGGGAAGGATAAGACTGTACCAAAAGTACAATCCTAACCAACTGGTAGACTCTGTATAAACACCAACAGTAATAAATTGCTCTCATGACTCAACGTTAAGGTAACCTTTCATACTCTTATCTTTATTAATGACATTTATTCTCGTCACTGCACCCAGAGAGTATGGGATGGAAACTCCATTGGTCACTCTTGCTGATGACTCGTGTCATGGCATGGATGCTGGGGGTGCAGCCAACCTTGTCCTGGTAGATCTCTCAGCAGCCTTGATACCACCAACTACAGGATCTGACAAGGAGCAGGAAACATCATTTTGCAGTAGTTCTCCTTTCCGAGTGGATGGGTTGATGGCTGCAGGGGGGAAGAGACTGCCTCTGCAGGGACTCCAATATGGGGTGTTCCAGAGCTTGGTTCTCTCCCCCATCCTCTTTAACATTTACATGAAGCTACTGGTAGAGATCATCTATCAACGTGGTTTGTTGATGACATGCAACTATACATCTCTGTCCCAGGCCAAATGGAGAATGCAGTGGAAGCCTTGTCCTTGGAGGTTGTCAGGGCCCGGATGGGCCTGACTTGATCAAGCTGACTTGATTGAAGCAAGACAGAGTGGCTGTTGGTTCTGAAATCAAGTAATTCTGGAGTAATACCAATTTTGGCTTTTAATGAGCCTGTGCTCTCCTCAAAAAAGAGGCTCATAATCAGGGGAACTCCTAGACTCACAGCTCCTCCTGGAAGAACAAGCAGAGACTGTGGCCGGGAGGCCTTTGCCCAGCTTTAGCTGGTGTGTGTTGCAGCCTTACTAAAATAGACCAACTGAATTCATACCCTTATCACCTAGCATCAAGATTTTTTCTACATGGGCTGTTCCTGAAAACCACCCAGAACCTTCAGCTGATGCATTTTACAGCTATCCATGTGCTTACTGGACAATACCACTGCTACAGGAGCTGCATTGGTTACCAGTTTGTTCCTTAGTGCAATTCAAAAAAGATTTCATTTATTGGAACCGTACATGCAACTCTAAGCAAAACATTGCTGAAACTAAAGCCCACGCTTTTTTCCCCCTTTACTTTATCTCTACTTCTCACCCCCCTCTTTCCAGGCGCCAGTTCTGTTTCCCACAGAGGTGCAACCTTGCACATTCCTATCCTCTGATAACAGTCCATCTTCCTGGCCTCTGATATCACACCAATTCCTTCTACTTTCCTTTTCCCCCTCCCCCTACTAAAGAATGGCAGAAACGAAGCAAGCAACTACTAAGCTAATATTTTGATTGCTGAAGGTTCTGACAGCTAGTTATTAACCTAATAAAGCCCTGTATGACTGCAGATCATCTATGCCAAGTAAATTCTGCCTGTCTAATCCAGGTGAATAGAGAGCACCTACTGAAGGCCCCCTCCTATAAGGAGGTACAGGTAGTCCTCACTTAACAATTGGGACCAGCAACTCCATTGCTAAGCAATGTGGTTATTGAGACAGTACATGACCACAACAGACTTATGACCTGACTTCCATTGCAGTTGTTAAACAAGTCACCACAGGTCATTAAGCGAGACATCACATGACTGCAACTTGCAATTTTATTGCCAGCTTCTCCATTGACTCTGCTTGTCAGAAGCCAGCTGTGAAGCATGCAGATGGCAACATGTCCACGGGATGCTGTGACGGTTATAAATGCCCATCAGTTGCAAAGCACCCAAATCTTGATCATGTGACTGCAGGGACACTGTGATGGTTGTAAGTGCAAGGACCAGTCATAAAGTTACTTTTTCAACATCATAATAACTATGAACAGAGGCTAAACAGGGCAGTCATTAAGTGAGGACTACCTTTACAATGGGAGGGGACATAGGGGCAGGCATTCTAAGTGGCCATTGGCCTCCTTTAGAACAGATTACGCCCCCAAGACAAGAAGGGTCCTGTCAGTCTTCCCAAGTAGACCAGACAGGAAACACAACCAGATGAGGTAATTCTATTTTATTGTAAGGCTCTTACAGAATCTTGCAAGTCTGAAAGTACAAATCTTCCACCATCTTTACAGCCTGAAAATATAGGGAGGGTCCCTTCTGAGCCTCTTGCTCTGCCCATTATGCAGCTACAGGCTATGTTCCCTCTTATGTGACCATTCCCTAGGCAGCATCTCTTCATCCCATCTCTCAAGGTCTTTCTCACATACCATTATAGGACCCCACTCCAACAAATAGTTAAGACTAGCTTTTCTGGCAGGTCTTTGATGATTAATCAACTAAAGAAAGAGCTGTATTTCCTACTATTTCCTGTTTTATTATTTTTACAGTATTGCTACTCTGTACTGTATTCTGATTTTGTATACACTTAGAACAGTTGGAGATAGTTTATCAATCTTATAAATAAAATAAATATTAACCCATAATCTAGTCCCCATATCCATTACTTATTGCCCATAAATCAATCACCTCAAGTGTAGGATCACCCAAGGGGGCAAAGGGACACAAGCGTACCATCATGTATGTCCTTCCTTCCACA